GTTTCAGGTCTTCAGTTCTGGGAACACATCTAACCATCTAGAGTAACTGAGAGGAGTTACCTGTGCTCCATAATAAGAACAAAACTCTAAGAACACACTTAACATACTTACACCCTAATTTAACAGCCAGTGACAATTTGTAGACTTAAGTTCTTAACTATTAATGAAAATCACATAAGCAACGTCTTCAGTTCTGGGAACACATCTAACCATCTAGAGTAACTGAGAGGAGTTACCTGTGCTCCATAATAAGAACAAAACTCTAAGAACACACTTAACATACTTACACCCTAATTTAACAGCCAGTGACAATTTGTAGACTTAAGTTCTTAACTATTAATGAAAATCACATAAGCAACACTGTAGACTTAAGTTCTTGACTATTAATGAAAATCACATAAGCAACATCTGATTCAAAGGAATGAATGTTCCTACACTGAAAAACAAATGTATAGGTACTTTTTAAGTGGGAATACTTAAGCATTCAGAAGCCAAAACTAACGTACAACTACGATTAGAAGCTCACAAACAACAAATGCCTTGGAGCATGACTGCCAGGTTAATTATTCCAGGCAGGAAAAGTCTCAAACTTGATCACATCAGCCTACAAAATGCATGTTTCTATTAATACTGTGATGAAGTGTTGTAACAGAACTCTCCCATATCAAGGAGAAAGGAGCCCTTTCTTACGAGGTCTCTCTTATACCTTTGTCATCCGATGGGCTATTATTCTCGTTCTCGTCCTCTGAAGGGATCTCTGTCTGGATGTGTTCCTGAAAATTGTTAATCTGCTCACGGAGTGACTGCTCTTCGCTGGATGTGGGCTGGCACACCATGGGATCCTCCGACACTAAGGACACAAACAAGTCTGACAGGGCTTCTTGAGGCCTGTTCTCTGAGTCGCTGTTACGCTGACTGTGATTACAGCTATGGAAGCTCTCAGTCTCCTGTGTATGAGGGTGATTGCCACAGTCATTGGCATTATGAAGGTCATCCTCAAGTCGCACAGACCCTTGATTCCCAGAGCCTGTGAAGTCCGACATTTGTATCACTCCATTGCAGTTTATTTCTGTTACACATTTTTCCACGCTGCTTTCCATTAGATTAGATTGGTCTTGCACAAGGACTTCAGCTGGAAGAGTGGAAAATGAGAAAATAGCAGAATACAGCTAAACGAATAGCTGGAAGCTGTTCAAGGAGCCCTCAGAAGTAGGGAGCTCCCAAAACAACTGAACACAATCCTTCATTAACTCAGTTTGCGACAGAAAACGTCCCAGTCTCTTTCGATGGGTGGACTGCAATGCAATCAAGGTAAATGACAACCACCTCTACTAAAGGTACTCTCTCCTCACGCCCACATGAGCGAATGGACAACACTGTCCATTCCATGTCAGCACTACTTTAGGTCCATACCTGTCTTTTTGCTGTCATTTTCCTCTGGTGGACAAACTTTTATGAGTGTTTCCAGGGGGGTCTGAGCTTCTTCCTCATCTTCAGGCTGTGTTGGCCCAGGGCTTGCTTCCTTCTCCATTTCCTCTATCTCCTGCATTCGCTTCTCTAACAGCTCAGCCTGCCGTTTCTGCTTCTTTTTCAACTTCTTTTTCTTATTCTTTGATATTTTATCAGCCTACACAGAAGCAAGCAGATTTAGCATTTTGTATTTCAATAAATCCAAAATGCACCAAGTTTTAGTTTATTTTAGAGCTGAGGAAGCAGTCTGGGGTAAAAATGCTGGAGACAGCTCTTCTCCCGGATGTAAAGCAGCTATTATGGTTTTTGAACTGGCTGTCTATGGCTGTCATCAGTGCATTTTCACCCTGTCCTGAGAAACCTACATTATTTTCCAAGTGAGGGATGTCAGACTCCACAGAGTACAGTCACCTTCACCACAGACCTTGAGATCACCACAAGGACTCCTTGTTCTGGTGATGTATAAGCCAGTACTATTTACATCTCCAAGACAGCATTGAACTTGATGCCTATGCCAAACATAAATCACACTTCTTCTTCTGACGTAAGGTGGCTTACACTTAACGCTGACTGGATTATGAAACAATAAACTAGATACAATCAGTAGATGGATACTTACAGATGAAAACTATTACACTTACTGGTTTTGGCTGTGGTGCAGTGCTCACTGAAAAGGAAAGTAAGATTAGTAAATTAGTGTTTATATCCAAAAACTACATTCTTAAGGTAAGCTTTTTCCTATGTGGTTTGGTAAGAACATTTTAATGATATCGGCAAATGTTATTTTGAAGGTTCATTTCCCTACCCAAACACAACAACAACAAAAGAGTAAAACATTAAATGAGTAAATGCATAATTAAAATTCCAGATAGACTTGCTTGACTGATACCAAATACTTAAAACTTCTTGTCATGTAGCTGCATCTACTGCATGTATTATGCATCTTACTGAAATGAAAATGCAAATCAAAGCTTAAAATACCAAACTTGAGGGAGCTTCCCTAAGCTATGCTATGATGGGCTCAGCTCAATGTTGGTGTCCTAAGATTATGACTGACAGAACCTTCCAATACACAGTGCAGTAGTTCTCGAAAAGTACACAACGGTACAGATGGATATTCTGAAGAGGAACACAAGGAACAAGAGAAAATTTTGCTCTCAGATCTTTAGGGACGTTGGCATGTCAAGAAAGCTGTTTCTGTTACACAGATTTCCAGAGTTCAGCAAACTGACAACAAATTGTCTTGTTGAGACTTTCATCAAATGCATTTCCAGCATCACGCAATGAAAGGTAATAAACTTTTGAAGAAAAGGTGAGAAGTATGTTGCTGCATTTTCACTCCAGTCCTATACTGAGTGTATCCAAACTGTGCTACATAAGCCTGAGTGCACTACCACTTTTATTAGTGCCAGGTTAGCTGTGTTAAAAACAGGTGCCAGCATCCTCCATCCATTTTTCTTACACAAACAACTACCTTCCCAATCACCTTTGAGTTATAACTTATGACTAACTTCATAATTTGCCATTGGGTTTTCACAGGTTGCTTGCATTATCATTCCACTATACTCCTGTTTTCCTTAGTGAGCCTAGTGATGATTTGGGGGTATGTGGAGGAAATAGCATCAATTTTCAGGGGGGGGAAAAAATCACATGAAAAAACCCCAAATCACCTGCAGAGCCAGATGGTGGGGGAGCCCCAGATCTCTGCCACTCTGTTGCCTCTGCAGCCAGCCTGCGAATGTACTGGTCATTGACGCACAGAAGAATGTTCTCAGGTTTAATATCTGTATGGATGATTCGACATTTTGTATGCAAGTAATCCAAACCCTGAAGAACCTGAAGACAAGAGAGAAGGAATTCAACCATTGGACAAAGCAAAGACTGAGCAAATTGAGAGTGAAGTAAAAATGCAAAATTGCCTTGGATGGCCTATGAACCTGAAGGGCTTCCATGTTTGAGAATAGTTCAAAGCTAATGTGGTCAGTGGTTACTACCCAGTTCCACGGAACAAGAGATTTTCATACAGATTTTAGCTATGATTTGAAAAAACACTATTTACCCTCTTAACTTACCACAGTAGAAAATGTAATTTTAATATTCTACAATGAAGTCACACTCTCTTCCCCTCCACCTCACACACAGAAAGATGTTTCTTCTTAGGCAACCATCCAGTAGGGAGAACTGGTTTCTCTTGCTCTTCCCATCATTAAGCACTGCACTTACTGTGACAGTTTTAAAAAAAATTCATTTCTGAGGAATGACCAGGGTAAGAAGAGGCTATAAGCAAAGCCAGACTCCCATCATGATTTGTGTCAGAAAATAACTACCTGTAGCAGAAGGGGTTTGCAGTAGAGAAAGAAAATATTAACCCAAGAATATTTTGTCGCGTGAGAGAGATACCACTGATTTTGAACTTCCGTTTTCTTGGACATGAGAAAGATTAGTGAAAGAGTTTTAACTGAGTCCAGGGAACAGTACAGTCAGAACTGGAACTTACCTGTTTGATGATTTTTTTGACACAAGGGAGTGGAAGTCCCTGATAATTTGACTTGATGATCCACTTCAAGAGATGATGCCCTAGAACTTCAAACACCATACAGATATCTGGAACTCAATTAAGGAAAATAATGGACATCCTGACCCAAGGAGCCCTGAATTCCCAGGACTGAGGATCAAAAGAAACCCGTACCGGCTAAGCACTCAATTAACATAAAGAACCCTCATCCTACTGACACAGCTTAGAAAAGCTGCCTCAACAGCACCACCCTATCCTACAAAACAGAGCTGTGACCTGAAACATAAAATACAGAGGGATGGAGTTGGTTAGCACAATGATTCTACTGCAGCAGTACCATCTCCTGTTCTGAGTGGAAGCTAGTTACACAAGCAAGCGTGCATTAGCATTTCCTGCTAGTAGTGCCAGGGCTTCTAGCCAGCAGTGTACATTTTGGAACAGACTAAGCTTCTGCCCCAGACAAAACTCAATGCCAGATCTCTCTGTACCAGCATTACCTGAAAAGATAATAAAATTTCCATTTCCTAAGTCATCTTCAGAACAATTATGTTACTTTCTTTGCCCTCCATTGCCTCTTTACCATCAAAACAACTTTTGACAAGCCTGGACTTCAACAATAGCATTATCTGCTTTTTGGTTTTAAGACCTCAATGGCTACAGTCACTCTACTGGCATATTCAGTACAGTGCCTTCCCTTTAGAAGCCAAACTCCTAAGAGTTCATCAGGCTGCTTTTCTTCTACACTGGCAGAAAGCACACATTTCACAAGAGTCTAAAAAATAAAAGATCAAGTCAACATTTACTTAGAAAAAAGTTAATAGAGGAAGTACATTATGTGCCTACTCTTTTCTAAAGTGTTAGAACATTTATAATCTACAGGTCAGTTCTCTCAAGAAGCCTAGTAATTCTGATGGAAGTAAAATTTAAGCCTATCACAAAGTGAAAATGTGCACAAAAGTCCAACTTTCAAATTTTAAGGTTCCATTGTTAGGACTTGCTACTAATCACTTCCTAACAACGATAAAGTACGATGCTTCCATAACTAGAAAACAAGCTTATCATCAAGTTATAGATGGCACGTGTTTGCTGTTTTCAGCTACTGATCTTAACATTTTGTATTGCTTTACTTAAACAGTAAGTTATTGACAGGCTGCCTGCAAAATTGCAGGGTTGAGATCAATGGGCTGTCCTGCCTCAAAGGTACCTCTGACACTAAGCCCTACAGTCCCAAATCAGCAGCAGTCACTCCATAGCTCACGTTCAAAGCACAACTAAGCAGTGCTGTCTCCATGGCTTAACACATTACATCTAGCTGAATGATCATTCTGACTTCTTAGCAGGCAGTTTTGAGGCAGACCATTCTACAGCAGGTTTCCTTGGGTAAGAAAAGGGATGCCTGGGCATTGGCTCACCAGGCAACTAGCACAGCTACCCAACCAACTCCCACCCTTATGCAAGTCTTTGCTTTTATTCCACAAAAGGATACGAGAACCATTAACTCCTGAAATCTTGAAGTCGTCTAATAACTGAACAACTCTTTCTTTACTTGGATCATTTGGATCACTGTTGCGGACCTGGAGAGAAAGAGGATTAATTCTGTACTTCTTGACGTAATTACCAGGCAAGAATATGTTCGAAGTTAGACCTACTGCACTACTGTTAGGTTCCTATACAAATTCCTTGCAGCTAGATGATCCAGAAACAGCAAGCCCATGACAAATGAAAAGAAAAAAAACCCCACTAAAAAAATCCTCAAAAAAACCCCAAAACAAACAAAAATGAAAAAAAATCCACAAAAAAATAGAATCCAACTCAGATGCTCACCGATTTTAGCAACTTGATTTCATCCAGTGCTGTTTCTGTGTAGTGCTCTGCACTCTTCACCACCTTCATTGCCACGAATCTCTTCCCTCTATGTACATGTGGCAAGTAAATTAGAAACTGTTAATACTCATACAAAGAACTTATCCTCCAGGATTATCCCAATTCTTTTGCATGCAAGAGAGCTTATTTCAGGTATTATGGAAAAAAAGGTTCAAACACTCAAAGACTGTTGTTGAGTCTTACTTTATAAAACATTCTTGTTAGTCATTTCTTGTGAAATGAAATAATAGGTCAGACACTGCTGAACATAAGAAAGAGCACTCGTTCCACGTATGTGGTTTGTCCTGTTAACTCCCTCCCACACACCTGCACAGTATCAAAAGAAACTTCTGTGTCAGAATGTGGACAGCTATATTTTGTATTTTAATCTAATAGTAAAAAGATGTTTTCTGACCACAAATGTAAAAAAAAACTAGAACAGAAAGACTTACTGTATGTCCCAAGCCAGCCACACAGTGGAGAAGTGGCCCCATCCAAGCTTCCGAATAACATGGTATCGTCCATTAAAGAGATCTCCTATTTTCACAAGGTGGTAACCACCTAGAAAAATAGTGAGAAGTTGATTTATCAAGAGATCATGCAAGTGCCAAAGAACAGGTATGTGGAACAAGCATCACAGCTTGAGGCAGACTTGTATTTAAATTTGTAATCGTGTAAACTAATGCCAGTGTTTCTTTAACTGGATTTTGTTAAAACAAATACACAGTATGCTAGAGGAAGAACTGTGAACAGCTCTCTAGCTGACTGACAAGTTTTAATGTAACTGAACTGGAATGACTGACATTTCCATCTTTTTAATGGATGAAATCCTGCAGCATCACAAAATATTATTTCCTTGGGGAAAGCATCTCAAGTCTGCCAGGCTCACCAGCTTTGGAAAACACAGCATTGTGATGGCCAGTAACAGAATCTTTTCAAACACCAGCATTGCTTTTGCATACTCTGACCCCATAACATGAGAGTACTGCACCTGAGATACCAACAGAGATTTCCCTGCAGTTGCTTTTCTGACTGAAAGCCACTTTGCCATTTAACATCACCACTGAAAACAGGCAAGTCTGCTCCCTGTACCCCTCATCTCTCCCAAGCCACTGACTATGCAGGAGGATTCCATAACACAAATAAAGACATGAAGGCCATACAAGGGAACTGGCAGAAAAGAAAACAAAGAGAAGAAATTGTGATTTGGCATTTCCATTTGCTCTGCATTTAGTTTCTACTCAGAGAAAGAGTGGAAGACTACTTGCAGGCACAAAGTTATCTCAAGAATGGATACCAAGATGATGATCTGATCTTCAAAAGAAAACCAAAGAACTTGACAAGGATTTGAAGGCTTTAAAAGTGCCCTTTTCATAATGACAAAAATGAATTAAACACCTACATGTTTTTATCGATATTGAAAGCCCTCAAGCACAGAGGAAAAGTTAACAGCTTTAAACTCATGCATTAAAAAGAGCTCTCCAACTCAAATCCTGACTGATGACAGAGAGAAATTTGGAGAAGAGCTAGTTGGCTTGAAAAATGTTATCTTCATGCAGTTTCAAAACACACTTAATGTAAGAGGCAGTCTATTTTGATTCTCTATAGCAAATAGGAAATGGGGGGAACTTCTTGATTACACTGAAAATCCTGCATCTTAAACAGGAAAGTTCTCACCTTTACAGTAATCATTTGGATCCTCTTGTTCATCATCATCTGATCCCAGGATTTCTTCCTCTTGCTCTGGAAGATCATTCTCTGAATGTGCAGCAGGGCCCCGATGCTGAGTGTCAGGTCTGAAAGAGAACACACTGCATGTCTCACATACACGTTACTCTACAGTTCAGAAGCTTTCAGGTCACACGAGGGATTGCTAATAATGGAAGAGATGCAATATTCAGCCCTGAGGAAAACTCTTCACATTTAAATGCTTTTACTCCTAAGCTAGCTGTGCTGGCTGGGGGTGGGATACAGTTAATTTTCTTCCCAGTGGCTAGTATGGGGCTATGTTTTGTATTTGTACTGAACATAGGGTTGATAATAAGAGATGTTTTTGAAATACAACTTAATACCCTAGATTCACTTGGTATATATGACAAAGAAAAGACCAGACAAGATAGCAAGTTACAAACCTAGCGATCCCAACCAAAATGTTAGTCTCTTTGAGCCCCTTTCTCAGCCTTTCATTCAGTGAGGACTTTTCTAAAGCAAATTTGTGTTTCAGATGTTATCCCATATAAAACCTGGAAATTTAAGCGTTGGTGAATACAATTTTGAAGACTAACATAAATTCATTTTTACTCCTTTGGAAAAAAAATTAAACCAGTGTGCCCTTTGTCCATTACGTCCAAGGTCAAATCAACATTTAACCATCATTCTGCTTCCAACACTTTAGAACTCTAAAGCCACTAGTATTGACCTTTACTTCTCCTGTTCTTGTGGTAGGCTGCATTTCTAGCTTGTCTCTTTCACTTAAATGATGGAAATCAGTCACTGAGGTGGTGGGGGTTCTTTAACTCCCACACTCATAAATAAAAACACTAATTTTAGGCGTTTTAACTTTTCACCAAATGTGCTACTCTAAGTTCTTGCTTGTGAAGATTGCGTCAGCAACTTTTAACTTTTCACCAAATTCTTGCTTGTGAAGATTGCGTCAGCAAAGGCCACCTCAGTGCTCTCAGGCATTCACATGTTCAAGTTTCCTGAGTTAAAACATATGCAATATCCCATGTCTCAACTCCTTCATGGCATCACACTGATCACAGCCAAACAGCTCATGAAAGGATAATACTAAATCAGGTAATTTATTTACTTTACAAAGCATTACAGGAAAGGGTTGAATTCAAAAGTTTAATATTCAAGATCTTTTTATACAAAGCAAACATTTATAATGAAAACAATGCCTATAGCCCATTTGCAATGGCAAGATTTAAGGGCAACGTACTGCAGGATATCAACATTAAGCTTGCTTTCCTTAGAAGTAGGAGATACTAAAAAAAGCCGGAGTTGTCCAAAGAGGTGGGCAGCAAACTTCATTACAGCAACGACGTGCAAGCACAAGAGAACATTCTTCACAACCAGCAGAAGCTTTTTGTATTGAAACTGTTGTTCAGGAGAAGCAGCTGACAACACTGAGGCCTTCCACCACCCTCCTTCAAATTCAAGCCATTCTGCTCGAAGTAGGAGGAACCCCCGAGACACCTACCAGCTATGCCAGTGGTGCCAACATATGCAGGATACAGTTTTCACAACCTATACCCGAGCTGGAGTCTTGCACACTGTATCATGGCTGTACTAACTAATCTTAAGCTATGGAGGAAATTCAGCATTTGCATTTCGACTAGTTATACAGCAGAATGAATGTTCAGCATTCGCCTACTACACATGCACTCTGCTGAGACTTCACATGTTAAATACAGTACTACACATTAAAACTACAGTCATCTTCAATATCTATGGATCCTAAAATGGGAAAAATCATGCATTCCAATCTGATGACTAAATTTGCAGCCATTGACAACCTACAGATGAAGTTCATTAAATCAAGGAAGAGCTATGAAGGTCATTTCAGGCACAACCCAATCACCTGACACTTACTTTCAGTCTGTTGTGAGAGTTAGTAAGTCTGCTGACTTTTTAATTCAGGAACAGGTAAGAAGCACAACTTAGTGGTTTCAAATCACAAAACAAGACTGCCAGGCTAATGAGATGTTTACTAACAATCCTGTAGCTTGATCCAGCCTCAAGATATTTAGTATTTAGACTTTTCGCCACCATGAGTCTCAGAATTTTAAGTCAGGGGTAGGAAGAAGGAAACTGGGGGTAGTGGATGTAGAAAGTCTTGCAGGACAAAAAGAGGCTTTAAAACTGCTACATTCCTTTGGGGACAACAGAGATATGAATAAAATCACACATTATCCCCAAATTAAGAGCAGGCAGCAAAGGTAAGAAAGGGCCATGGGCAGAATGGTTGAAGGGGAGACTTGATGCTCATAAGACTACAAATCCTATAGACAGGGTGAAGAACAAGAATGCTGAATCGAACAGAAAGATTTTAAGCCCAGGAGCCACACACATACCATGAGTAGTAGAGTAATTCTCCCCAATGCTGTTTCAAGATTTTCACCTTTTTAGCTGCACAAGATGTAGGGGATTAGAAAGGATTCAAAAGAAAATTCACCTTAAGAACCACTGATGCAAACAGAAGCATCACACCATTCTGCAGTCTCAGTGCTTTTCAATAACAGTAATTTCATGCATCAAGGAAGAAGTTACTGGAAGCACTAAATCCCATTCTCTTGGGAGCTTTCTGTGCCCCTCCTAAGGAGCTGACAAATAATGCTGCTGACTGTATCACACGACACACACTGTAGTCTGAATCTGAGTCTATCATGTGGATCCAAAAGCATTTTGCTCCTATACTATAACCTAATATACCAACAAATGTGAGAAAGCCATATTCAGGTAACATAATTTATACAGGGCTATCTCCTTTATGAAATCTCCTCCAAAACACATCTCATTCCATTGCCTTCCTGTGAAAATTCATTTGGTGTTATTACACCCCACCACCTTCTTCCCCCAAAATGACCATGCCAGCTGCAGATGTGGATTAAGACAGATTTAATCAGTGCAGAGTATGTATTAATACCTAAGAAAAACCAGTACACAAAATCAGAACCCTTATCTGTCTGCTTTGCTCACAAAGACAGTACTCTGAAAGGCACAAAAGGCTGTTAAAGACAGCAGAAAAAATCCATACGTGGTATTTAAAGATGACAGCTGAAACAGCTGTCAGCAATGCTGCAAAATGCAGATGAAGTACATAAAACCCCTATACTAAATGATTGTTTACACATTTAAAAACAGCTGTTCTAGGATACCATTTTTTTTGTAGTCATACTTATCTACTCAAGAACACCCCGAACACCTTTTTCTTTTGCTCTCTCAATGTGTTAATTAATCATCAGAGTAAACTGGATCTGCAGAGTCTCTCTACAACTATACAGCAATATTTTACTTAAGAAAAAAAATGTGGAACAGCAATGCTAAGGCAAAATGCTAGATCTATGGAATTCAAGTGAATCCATGCTTTGAGACCCTCCCAAAAGCCCTTATTCTCTTAGCAGCACCTGAAGAACTACAAATTCACAAGACAAAATTAAAGAGGGTAACGTACCTGCACGAAGCACGGCCTCCCATTGATAAAGATATTCCCGAAGACAGCCCAATAGTTTTGGAAAAAGCCATCAAAAATCAGACGCCACACTGTTCGGGAAGCAGGAGGACATCAGCAGCAGGCAGAGGGGCTGGTTCTTCCTGAACGCAGCAAAGCTTTGTGCAAGAGTGAGGGAGAAGAGGGATTTGCCTCCAGCACCAAGCTGCAGCTGCCCAGCACTGCATTGCAGGTGAAGGGCCGTGCAGCAAGGCTGGGGCTTGCTCTCAGCTGATCTTCCTGCAAATTCAGTCACGTTAGGGGGGGTGAGCATAAAAAGATTCACCTCCTTCTCTTGATGTCTACCTGTCTCAATCTATCCTCTAATGAAGTTAGAAATTCAGTCAGATATTTTGTTTCATCTTTCTGAACCAGCCGGTTTTATTTGCCTATTCAATAGCCCACTGCATTCAAAGCTCAGCTGAAGACAAGGATCGTGGTAACTGCTGACAGACCAACCTTTTGATAGAGAAATGACAGCACAATCACGCAGCAGCCAAAGGGCGTTCAAAGTAAAAAGTAATTTTCTGAAGTAACTCCAAACTTCCCCATCCAGAGTTACAAGAAAAACTCATCCTTTACACTTAGAAGTTACAAAACAAGCAAGAGGAGTCAAATCTTCATTAAAAAGTTGAACTGAGAACTTCTCACAGCAGCAGCAGGTAACATCATCCTCCAACAGGGCAGAAGAATTACCAGCCATTTCCTGTGCCTGTTTATCCTGCTGGTTTATGTAAGCGATACGGGAAACAAGTCAGCAACAATATGACATCGTAGGTAATAATTTAGAGAATTCTCTGCAAGGGAGGACTTTAGTAATAAAAGACACTGAAGCTGGCCCTGCAGTTTTAAACCAAGAGGTTTAAAGAAGAATTGGATTCAGCTGGTTGTACATCTAAAACACTGTCTTAAAAGATCACTGAAATCTCAACATCCTTTTAACAGCTTAGCATTGCCAAACCTCTTCATATTACTGGAGACAAGATTTTGCTCCACATTCATCGAAGATATCACCCAACAACTCTGCCCACCTCTGCAAGGTGCAGCAGGGACACTAACTATTATTTGCAGAAACTAAGATTTCAGTCACTCACTTGGTCCTTTACAGAAGGTGTTCAAAGAACTTGGAAAAACACTTTTTGAATTCTCTTGCCAGTTTTTAATAGAACCACTTATTTGGTCCACAGAGACAAAATAAGGTAAAAATTGATTAAGAAGTCTCAATTGCACAACATGGGTTCTTACAGATTTGCATGTAGGTAGATCCAACATCATCCGAAGGATGAGAGACCACAGTCATGTCTGTTAGTACAGACAGTGCAATCAGAAAGCTGTGCTCCTCACGCCAAGGAGTGGCACCAGCATGGGTTCCACAATACTTGCTGCTGCAGGCAGCCATCCCAGAGCTACAAGAATACCAGTGTCAAGAGCTTAAAAGAAGACTGGAGAGGATCGAACACTTTGCTCTTAAAGAACAGCACTCAGAGGCACCAAGACGTACTTTTGACTAATGGGTCTGTGTGGGAGCTCAGTTTGAAGGTAAGTAATGGCTTCCACATGAGAACAGCACTAATACACAAGTAACAGGCAATCATCATCTTGCTCTCCATACCTGCTGCTCCCCCACACAAGCACTTAACAAGCTGTTTGTAGAACTGTCTGCTATTCCAGCTACTACAAACCAAGGGGATTCCATGGAAACCAGGAGATCTTCAGCTGTGCCCTCTCATAGTCTGATAATCACTTCTGTATTAGAATGAAAAAAAAATATCTGTGGCCAATGCATTCTGGCTCTACCTTAAACTTAGGCTCAAAATACTTTCAAAAGACATATTCCTGGTATTAATTACGAAAGACAAGTGAGGAAAACATAATCTAAGACCCTGATCCCAAGCAAAGCTTCGAAAAAGTTGAGGAAAAAACCAAGAGGTTTGTCAGAACTCCAGGGCTTCTCAAAAACAGAAGTGATACGAGCAAGGCATACAATAACAAACCAGAAAGTATCAGATCCTACTGAGAATTTTCTGCTCCCCACACTGCACAGATGGAAAAACTAACTGCATCTCTCTCCACAGCAATTCTATAGAGAAGGAAGAAAGAAGTGAGGTTTCACTGCATGTCAAGAGTCTTTCCAGAACATTACAGGTAACTGTAAAACAGCTTCTTGAAAATAAGGCATATTGCAAGCATTTGGGAAGAGAGCAAGACTACTAACAGCTCTGCTGCTGCCCTCCCTGCAGGAGTAGAGGGACACACAGATCTACCGAATGTCCTGTGAAAAAGCATCTCCCACTCAGTAAAGCCTGTAAGAAACTTAAACAAAATCACCAGTGCAATGCAGAATTAGAAAAAAGTACTTCAGATCTGCATGTTTTTCAGAGCAAGCCACATACTGTATGGCTGCCACTACCTTTGTAGTAAAATGTTCTGCTTTGAAGTACAATATGTTTGACAACCCTTACACAGAACTGCTGGTTTTGAACATGAGTAGGCCAACTTTTCCTGAAACATGAAAGATACTGGATTTGATGAAACAGTATTATCATTTGGGCCTGCCAATGAAATACCTATCACCTACACATCATACAGACCTGCAGCCCAGATCTAGGTAATACACTCATTTACTTCATTTCAGAGAAATGAGCTCTAATACAGAACTTTTTGTTCATTTTCTTGCCTGTTTCTTTAACTGCTTTGAATCTGGATGGGCGTTTCAGACTAGTTTTTAACTCCAGCTCCTAATCTCAGTAATAATCTAAAGAGTAATTTTCTGCTAGTACAAAGAAAACAGTGCAATTCTAAGGCCTTGCAATATAAAATGCAGACAGGAAAAAACCCACGTTATTTTACTGGCAATTATGATTTAACACTCACAAGTGCCCAATTCCATTACAAATTACGAGAGACATTGGCAAAGTACAAATATATTTGCATTTTAGCTTAAATAGAAGCTTGTATTTTCAAACAGAAGCAGAGTTTTGAACTAAATACTAGATCTTCCTCATATATTAAGCGTTTGTTCACATAGTACAACGGTCTTTTAGCATATGGAATGAAGAAGAAAAAAGGAATTCTTGGGAATGATTTTTTCACTGAAAGCACTGGAAGGGGCTGCCCAGGGAGGTGGTGGAGTCACCATCCCTGGACGCATTCAAGAAATGACTGGAGATGGCAATTAGTGCTCTGATGTAATTGATAAGGTGATGACTGGTCATAGGTTGGACTTAATTACCTCCGAGGTCTGCTTAAACCTTAATGATTCTATGAATCTCTTTCAAATGAAAGCAGGTAGATGCCAGGCTTCAGCATCACTTCTGAACAAAGCAGCATTCCACTCCAAACAGCACCTGGGGTCTTCAAATATCAAGCTGATGATCTCTTGTTAGCCTGCACTGCTTCCTAAACAGTCACTACCTTGCTGCACCAAGGCATTACACTGCCAGCACGTTTGGCCTGGTCTGTGCTGCAGGAGACCTGCAAAGCACCAAGCAGCCACCTCGTGGCAGATGACAGGCCGAACTGTTGGCACACCCATCACACCTTCCTCCTGCTGCATTCAAGGACGTCCCCATCCAAGACAGCTCATGAAACACAAGAGAATTGTGTTTTCAGTTCCACAGAAATCATACAAGGAAAACTGGTACAAGAAGTATTCCCAGGAAAGCACTGTGCATCTCTCCCACCTCCCATGGGACTTGAATGCATCTCACCAGATAGAGCTGTCTGAAGAGTTTACAGTCAAAGTTACTAAGGCTTACTAAAGTTTTGGTATGAAAAAATACTTGTAAGCCTACAAGCTCCTTTTTTAAAGGCAAGCTTTCTTGAGTGTTTTTGGGAATCAAGTGACTGTTAGCAGTCAAGATGCTCACACCTCAAGAAATGGTAAAACTAATACATCACATTCTTCCCTAGATAGCTTTCAGAAAACCTACCTCTGGGCAGCAATACACACTGCAGTAGAATATGTATCAAATTCCCTGTGTTTTGTTAGCAACCAAAGCTTTGACATGCATATTTCCTAACATACTCTTAACATTAAATGCCTAATTTTCTAAAAATAATTTAGATTAAAACAATTTAATTCTAATTCCTCATCTTTATCTAATGGAAAAAAGGTGAAATTAAGAAGAAACTGAAATCAATGCTTCACTCAAGGCCGCAAAGCAACTGAGTGACAGTCAGCATTAGGACTCAGGATCTCGCTGTATCTAAGCTTTCATTTTGTCCCTCCAAGGCATTCAGCTGTCACTCTCCCTATCCTTACTCCTCCTCAGTTCTCACAAGAATGGAACCTAAGCAAAGGTACACAGCCACAATATTCTTCCACCTGCACAGTGGTAGAGATGAAGGCAACAAGCAGGCTAGGCAAGTAGAAGCTTCCTGAGCAAGCATTTGAGACAGCTGGCTTAATGAATCCCCCAGATTACCAAAATCATTTGGGGTAGTTTTACTGCAATGGGAAAACACAGGTGTTTCACCTTTGTAATTCCAAGAAACTCTGCCCGCTCTCTTTCTACAGGAGAGTGTTAGGATAAATGCATTCTTTCCTTGACTGATATCAAACAAAACTTTTAAGACAGGAAGGATGGAAAGAAATAGAAACATCCTGAATTTACAGAAAATTAAGAATGTGGTTGACTTTCCTACAAGAAAACGTATATACAGAATCATAACTAGTATTTACAAGATGTTTCTGTAAATAACCAGTTTAGTCTGGTCTTGTCTGAACCTAACAGGCAGTACTGTAACTACTGAATGATGGAAAAAAGCAGTAACTTCCCAGTTTTGTATGATACACCGTTCATTGTTATTTTAACCTTTCCAAGTGGGTTTTGTTTTTAACCAGACTGGGTTTGTAAGTAAACTCAGAGCAGGTGTAGCTCATTTTTAAAAAGAGAGGTATTTTGAACTGTTTTAAATCCGCTCACAACTTTCTCTACATTTTTACACTTACTCATAGTGTGATAATTCATAACACTCACTAACCTTTTAGAATCAGTAGCTTCACACTTTTTACTGTGCATGTATAGAAAAACGTATTATAGAAAAAAGATTTTATGCGTGATCTAAACTACCACAGAACATCACATATTAAAAGCATACTCCATGTGGTTTCAAGTTTAGATTTTATGGAAAATCTCACGACAACCCAGTTAAGCTTTCTTTAGAAGATTTAACTAGAGCAGCTTTGTATTTAAATAGTATAAATGTTGTGAAACTGTACCTGAAATTAGAGGCTGACACTGGGTTCTTTTAGTCGCACGACATGAAGTACATGCAGTTACCCTGTCCTGAACACGTGGTTAAAAAGGATTTAAAAAACACCAACATGCCAGCACTGGAAGTTACCATTCAGCAACCTCAGAATTTACACAGAAATCAGTCTTTCCAGCTGCCCTGTGGACTCTATTGGCAGTCAGTATTGTTTGTCTGCAGTTAGAAAAGGAAAAAAAGTAACATGTATAGAATTAAACAATGGATTATTAATACAGAATTTAGAAAAAGAGATTTTAAAAACTGTCCTGATACTATCTTCAAACAATACCAGGCACCACAAGCCACATCTCCCAAAGACTTCAGTTAACACTCCTCACTCCTCAAAAGCACCATCTCAAAACAACTGAATCTTGGCTGGGAGAAAAGAAAGATTGAAATCCCTGGGATTTGCCTGAGGAAGTGCCTAAGAAAGCATTACTCTAGCCTAAAGGAAAAAACCTCCAATTCCCACCCCAAAGCCTAACTTATTAAACACCTTTGCTTCCTAGGCACCCAAGTACAAAAGACTCCGGAGGGATCAGAGACTCTACAGAAATAAGCAGCCTTTTACAGAGCACACAGCACCAGCTCTGGGATCTACACTGCCTTTCACTAGAAAGCAATCCATGAGCACCACCGGACGCAGTACTTAACGCAGTCTGGTAGGAGCCACTGCTTAGTATTTACTCCAGTTCTTCTACTTTTTAGATCTGCACCCGAAAGCTCACCACACATAGACTTGTGACATTCCTGCGGTGAGAGAGAAGCCATGCGAAAGCACCAAAGTCAGAGAGAGAAGAAATCACGCATCGCGGCATGCTTTCGGCAAGCCGAGGCGGAAAGAGGGGGAAGAGAGTCGAGAGAAGCTGGTCAAAGGCACCAGTTACCCAACCGCTGCGGGGGCTGCAGAGAGGGGAGCGCAGGCTGCGGCCGGGC